GCGCACATTAATAAAACATACGCCGTGAGCGCTGATGTCACAGATAGCATGGTTTGCATGTATCCAAGTGAGCGAGTGTACTCTCGATCTATTGTTACGCGGAAGCAGATAGGGACGGCCAACTTGCAAGGGTACACAGTAGATACCAGGCGCTAATTAATATTTGAAACGCGCTACCCCGTAGGTGCGTCAACACTATTGGCAGCGCCATAGTCAGTTTACCGTTTGTGCGGCCCCAAGCCTCGCACCGTCAACCAGTATACTAAATACAAATATAGGTAGGAAAATGGGGGCCTAAAAGTGTATATTTACCAATTACTTGCTCTTCTGCTGCTTCTTATGCTCGTTGTACTTGGCGTTTCGGGCGGTCAGCTTGCGAGGGCGGCTGCGCCTCTTTTTCTTCTTGGGGTACCAGTCAGGACCCATCGCCTTCTTGACGTTCGCCAGGCTTTCCTGGCGGCGCACATCGGCCGAATCAGGTGGTGGGGGCTTTTCCTCCCAAAACTCAACCGCTTTTTGGGCCGTTCTCGCAGGCAATACAGCGCCGCACGATGTCCCGCCCGCTGATTGTACGGAATGCGTAGCCGTACTGCAGCTTCCCGCAGCAGACGCAGCGCGCTCGGGGGTCCGTCGTAGACCGCTGCGGGTTCAGTAGAAGCGGGTCAATCTTCGCCTCGCATTGCTTGCACGTAAGGCCCACCATTTTGCAAACTGTGAGTAAGTAAGCAACATATATTATTTTAACCAATTACTTTCGTCCAAATATTAGCCAATAGCTTGGAAATATAAGGCTGGTATTTATTATTTAGAAACATATTAAAAAGTTGATACTAACGTTTTGGCTTTGCTATAATATATTATTATCAGATTTCCAAGCAAAAACATACTTTACATGCAATAGAAATTGCCTAAGACAATTATCTATCGTGCGCGCATGCATCTGTCGGGTGTGGTGCACGGGAGCAGATAGCGAAATGCCCGTGCAGCTGCGCGCCTTCATTGCACGGTGGCAGTGGTGAGTTCCAGGTAAAATACAAAATATATATATACGCAAAGTCGCTACAAAAAGCGCTGGTCGTGAAGTCTACTTTAATATTAAAATACTATCGTCTCTACTTTAGAGAGTGTGTGGAAAATAGCATCGCCGAGCTCTTACAAATGCGGCCTGTGAAGCTTATTTTAATAATACTATTAATATCGTCTTTACTTTGAAAAGTGTGTGGAAAATAACATCCCAGAGCTTTTACAAAATACTGGTCTGTGAAGTCTACATTAATAATAATAAAAATCTCTATTTGAGAAGTGTGCAGATTACTGTGCCCGATTTGCAGTATATACGATAGGTTTTGCGTCGCTGAATGCAATAATCAAGTATCTCCTGGCTGTTTGCATCCAATCGATGTGTTTCGTGCTCAGCAAAACTGTTTAACTTACGTCCAATCGCGAGGGCGAGAGGCGGTCTGATCGTGCGACAGATCCAGTCAGTGTCGCAGGTCGGCAGGTATTGCCCAATCAGGGCGCGAGTTAATTGTGTCACGCTTTTGGACATATTTGTAATTTATGCATTGCTAGGTCGAGTCAGAAAGATAGGCGCGGTCGGTAGGATGGGAGGAAACTGTATAAGACAGGCTAAGTGTAGCCATGCGAAAAGGCAGGAAAAAGCAGCAAGAAAGGAACCGGACGGACTTATTGACAGACGGACGGACAGGCTGCAAGTTTAGGTGGCGGGAAACTAGCGGTCTGGGCGTCCGCTCCGCGGACGCTAGGGCATGGTTGGTTGGTGTAGTGTGGGCTGACCGCCTCCGCTGCGCTGCGGTGGGCTTAGCTTGTTTAACTCAAAGCAACATAAAATATATATTCCGTGTTCTACTTATGTTATGATCCAAAACAACACCGCACACAATATCCTGAGTGCTCACATATTATGGTAGACATGACCAGGGTTTAACGTGATCTGCAAGATGAGCACCATCTTACCCGGGAGGTTTCGTCTATAGTCTCATTTGAGCGCATAGCTCCCACAATGACGCCAATCGGAGGCGCGCGTGGTTGCAAATGTAATATATGCTGTTCAGAAGACGGGTCAGTATCCATGATGCTACGGAATTGGCATAGATCGGTGAGGAATCCTAGTTTGGGGGTCTAAATACGCCTCCTCAAACATAATACCATATGTCACGTCATCGCGGTGAGGCAGTCGACACCATATCTTTGATTGCGACGGTCTATTAGAGCAAGGTTTGGTCAGCCTTCCGCGCGAAGTATCTTTTAAGACAGTTTTGTTTTGCTAATGATCGCCACAAACAATAATATTATGCTTTGCAACAGTTCCGCTGAGCTCTTTATGATAATACTGTAGCGTCTTTCCACTTTTTCCGCATGCATTGATCTTACTTGCATAGCTGACACACTTACTGACTTATTTGCATAGCTACTAACTGACAGAGTGGTGTAACTCTTTTCCGAGTGGCATTTACTGGTTCCGATATGTAAGAAAAACATACGAAGCCACATGGAGGTAGGCAGATTATCATATCGTAGTGGTGTTTAGACGTGAATCGAATAGTAGTTCATGTACATTAGGTGACGTACTTCCGCTGCCAACTTATCAGCTCGGTGTGATGTATCCGTGCATATATTGCGAGGTCGTTAATGAGTGTATATCACGCGCTCGTGATATCTAAAACCTATGTATAGGATCACTGTCGCTTTCTCGGTACATTTGCGTCGTCGTGCTGGCTTACTGGGCCTACGCTTCTGATGTATCAGTCTATATGACCAAGCAGGTCACTAACTGGTCACAGGCCATACTGCGGCGATACTGGCAAGCTGACCGCGCGTCTGTCACCTGTATTCAGCTCAGTATCTACGCGCGCGGCGGGTACACCTTATAGCCACCCGCGACTAAGCCGAGCTCTTATCTCGACCATTATGGACAGGGCACTAAGGTATAGTACTGCGTACAGACAGTTCGACTTACCACACCCACCGGTATTGTTTGCGCTACCGCACACGTGCTCGTATCTATTTAGACAGCAACTTAATCGTCGCGTGTAGTGCTCACTCGATGCTGTAGTTTCAATTTGTGAGCGCACATTAATGGAACATACGCCGTGAGCGCTGATGTCACAGATAGCATGGTTTGCATGTATCCAAGTGAGCGAGTGTACTCTCGATCTATTGTTACGCGGAAGCAGATAGGGACGGTCAGCTTGCAAGGGTTCACAGTAGATACCGTGCGCTAATTATTATTTGAAACGCGCTACCCTCTGTAGGTGCGTCAACACTATTGGCAGCGCCATAGTCAGTTTACCGTATGTGCGGCTCCAAGCCTCGTACCGTCAACCAGTATACTAAATACAAATATAGGTAGGGAAATGAGGGCCTAAAAGGGTGTATTTACCAATTACTTGCTCTTCTGCTGCTTCTTTTGCTCGACGTAATTGGCGTTTCGGGCGGTCAGCATGCGATGGTGGCTGCGCCTCTTTTTCTTCTTGGGGTACCAGTCAGGACCCATCGCTTTCTTGACGTTTGCCAGGCTTTCCTGGCGGCGCACTTTGGTAGAATCAGGTGGTGGGAGCTTTTCCTCCCAGAACTCAACCGCTTTTGGGCCGTTCTTGCACGCAATACAGTGCCGCACGCTGCCCCGTCCGCTGATTGTACGGAGCGCGTAACCGTACTGCAGCCTCCCGCAACCGACGCAACGCGCCCAAGTATCCGTCGTAGACCGCTGCGGGTTCAGCAGAAGCGGGTCAATCTTCGCCTCGCATTGCTTGCACATAGGGCCCGCCATTTTGCAAACTGTGAGTATGTTAGCAAATTATATTGTTTTAACCAATTACTTGCGTCCAAATATTAGCCAATAGCACGGTACTGTAAGAGTGGAATTTATATTTAAGCAAAATATTCAAAAGCTGATATTTAATATTTTGCTTTAATAGTAATACTGTCAGATATTTAAACAAATACATACTTTACATGCAATAAAAGTGACTAAAAACACTATGTACCGTGCGCGCATGCATCCATCAGATGCGGTGCACGGGAGCAGATAGCGCAATGACCGTGCAGCCGCGCGCCTTCATTGCACGGTGGCAGTGGTGAGTGCCAGGTGAAGTAAAAAAGATATATATTCGCAAAGTCCCTACAAAAAGCGCTGGTCGTGAAGCCTACTTTAATATTAAAAAATACTATCGTCTCTACTTATGAAAGTGTGTGGAAAATAGCATCGCCGAGCTCTTACAAATGCGGCCTGTGAAGTTTATATTAATAATATTAGTACTATTAATATCGTCATTACTTTGAAAAGTGTGTGGAAACTAACATCCCAGAGCTCTTACAAAATACTGGTCTGTGAAGTCTACATTAATAATAATAAATATCTCTATTTGAAAAGTGTGCAGAGCTCTTAGAAAATAAAGTGGTTACTGTGCCCGATTTGCAGTACATACGACAGGTTTTGCGCAATAATCAAGTATCTGCTGGCTGTTTGCAGCCAATCGATGCGTTTCGTGCTCGGCAGAAATGTTTACCTTACGTCCAATCGCGAGGGCGATAGACGGTCTGATCGTGCGACAGATCCAGTCAGTGTCGCAGGTCGGCAGGTATTGCCCAATCAGGGCGCGATTTAATTGTGTCACGCTTTTGGATATATTTGTAATTTTAGCATAGTTAGGTCGAGTCAGAAAGGTAGGCGCGGTCGGTAAGATGGGACGAAACTGTATTAGACAGGCCGGGTGTAGCCATGCGAAAAGGCAGGAAAAAGCAGCAAGAAAGGAACCGGACGGACTTATTGACAGACGGACGGACAGACACGCTGCAAGGTTAGGGGGCGGTAAATAAACTGGTGAAGTCGATCGACATACTCGTTTTCTGAGCGTAACGTCAGTCCCACCGGTCCGGATTGGAGTCCGAAATCTCTGTTTATCCGTGATATGACGTCCACAGAGTCAATCATCCGGAATGCCACCTCGCCGCTAAAACTCTGTGTGGGGCATTGACTAGTGTACAAGAAACAATTCGGAAAGTTTGGAGCTGACAAGAAACGTGCAAATGCTCGCCACGTGATCGAAGTCGAGTCGTACTTGTAGCTCCATACACGTGCTGTTGTGCTGCCTTTTCTGGCTTCCTCTTTGGTAGACGCAAACACTGAATAGTTCCACGATGTATCAAAACTTACCACTTCGTCTGGCTGCAGTGATGGGTACACATCTTGAAGATTCGACACGCCCACACCGGAGCGTAAGACGTCGGCGAAAACGAGAGCTAGCGACACAGCTCCGATGAAGAACCGCAGCCACGAGAACGGGAGATGGCGCTCGAACACTTTGTCACGCGCAGCGAGTTGTCGGGCATGAGTCTTCTCAATGAGAGCAGCTGGAGTAATCACCTTCTTCCAGCTCAACGAGTGCTTCTCTGCATGACGTGAAGCCCACTTGGATAAAGCCATCAGCGCGCGAGTACCATCTCCACAAGTCGGAGTTACCCGAACGGGGGCCATCACGAGACTGAATACTAAAAAAACACACACACAAAAGAGAGACGCAGGGTCTACTTGGACACTTGATAATTTTAGCTCACCTCGAGATTGTCGCTTGTCCGTTTCAAGCCGGAACAAACGAGATATTATTGCTACAGTACCCCCGTCTTCATCCAGCGTCTTATCTTTTAAGAGTGCGTTGTTTTTCGGCGTGCACAACAATCTTTTCATCTCGCGACAGACCCTTACGCTTACGTACCGCTTCGATGTATCGTCTCACGTAGTTGTGTTCGTAGACGCGTTCGCCAAAGTCCTCTCGCTCCAACTCTGTCTGCGGCTGGAAGAACGGGTCCATGTCAATGATACTCCAGTGTGAGAAGATGAGTTGTGGGTTACTAGCAGCTCCTGACGTCTGGATCAACAGGTCGGTGGCAAAGCCGAAGCTTTCCACGACTGGCAAGTGAGCTTTCACAGTGAATAGCGCTGTCCCATCGGACAACTCTTCCGAGTAGATATCGCCTCGTCGCTTCGAGATGACACTGTACAACTTGCCGAGCTGCTCGGCTTGACACTGCACTGTGCACTCATACACGGCCTCTACTAACCGCACAGGCTGCTTCACAAAGGACATGAGGCAAGTGGTCCGCATAGTGGAGATTACCTGTCCGCTAAGCGGTCCGTACTTGCTCGCCTCTTCATCTGACACATCGTCGCTTTTCTCATGGAAAACGACGTCTTCAACGATGAACGCGACGCCCCATACCGGTTCATCACACAAAGGTCCAGCCGAGGAGGCCATCTGGAAGCCCGTCACGATGCTGTTCTCCAGTTTCCGGATCTGCTCTGCTTTCTCTGAGTCTTCAACTTGTGTTGCGTTCGACGGGAATAGGCAGCCAGTCGAATGGTATCCTGGAATGTTGTTGATCAACATGTTTGGACCTACTCGTCGAGGGCCACAGCTCCAAATCTGGTGCATTGGTAGCGACTTTAACAAGCTGTGGTCACTCAATTGGAGCGATTTCTCCAATTTTTTCTGGAAAGCCGCGATATCCTGTGCAGCAGCTTCCAATTCCAGGTCAAATTCCTTGGTTTCTGTCTCGTCTGTGGATTTCTTGGTGTGTGTGATACGTTTCAACAGTGGCGCATTTTCTTCCAATAGCTTTGCAGTGTCAAGAGGCAATGGAAGTGCACGCAGCTTTAGAGTCAGCGTGCCATCCGGAGTTGTTCCCAACGCACGTTTCGGATCTTGCGTATCAGCGTAGTGCTCGTCTTTATCAAGAGCGTCCTCCTTGCTTGTATCGGGATTGAGAAGGTCTTTGAACACGATGTGCTCCTGGAACGAAGAGATCGTTCCGTTCACGATACTTTCCCGAAACCCCACCAAAGGCTCAGAGACTTGCACTGCGACTTTTGCAAAGCGATCCTTCAAATCCTTGATACATCGTTCCAAGTGAAACTCTCCCAGTGCAACAATAACATGTTCGCCAGTCTCCTGCACGTGGACTTCGACGGTAGGATCAGATCGATACAAACGCTGTAGACCAGCTTCCAGAGCGCCAAAGTGGCGCGGATCTTCAGGTTCCACGGCCACACGGACAATCGGCTTGGCTTGATACGGCATCTTCGTCAACGAAGGACACGCCAGGGTTGACGACAACGTCGCCGTCTTCAAAACATGTTCCTGAAGACCGACAATACCGATGATATTACCAGCAGGAACACGATCCAGCTTGTGTAGATCACGTCCCATCATCATGTACGGCTTCACCACCCCGCTGTCAATACGTGTGACGTGTTTCACCGTATTCAAGTCCACTGTATCCACATCCACGTCTCCAGATACGCCTTGGAACTTGGGATCCATCACATACACCGGCTGGCCTTCTCGAAGCACACCAGAGTACACCCGACCCACGCCGACATAGACCTCGTCTGTAGCAGCCAGTCCGGACTGGTGATAATCCGATAACACATTGGCCTCCACTGAAATGACCTTGCAAATGTAAATAACAAGCGGCGCATCATCCGAAGTCTGACAGGATTGCAAAGACCGGAAGACTTGAAGCGATTTGTCGGACGAGATCGTACACAACTTGTCGGCGCGTTTTACTTGAGCAGCCACTGGACTCGGTAGAACGCGCGTCACCATCTTCAACACGGTCGTAGACAACGGCAGCCACTTCCTCATCACCGCTTGAGTCGCGTTCTTCCGGTCCGTCTGCTTCAGATCACGATCCGAAACCAGCTTGGCAATCCGAAGTTGTCGTGTGAGTTTCCGTAAAACGTCCAAGTCCGCATCCGACTGCACCGGCTTCGTCATCGTCGTATACGTCGTCCAGATCAAGTCGAGAATGAACGAACAGAACATCGTCTGGCTACTAGACGTGGGCGGTTTGCTCACGATCTTCTTGCTCTTGTGGTTGTAGTAGTACTCGCCCCACAATGCTTGGCGCATCACACGTACAGGCAGCTCTAATTTCTTCGCATACAAAGCTGCAAAGTATCCGATACCAAAGGCCCAGCCGTCGGTAGCACTAGCAAAGATAACGTTACTGTTCGATGGAGAGAACAGCATTTCGTTCTCTAATTGCTCCGTCTCGTTGGAAATCACCTCGTCATCGGTGTCTGCATCGATTGTACCGTTCTCGTCTCCAATAGAAGCCTCTTGGTCGTACTTCTCGAGTACATCCATCCTGATCATGGAGCTCAGTACTGCGTTGGCCTGTTCTAAGATGCGATTGAGTCTCTGATAAGCTTCTATGGGCGAGAATTGCAGCTCGAAGATCAGACGATCCATCTTGTTAATAACTAGACATGGACGGATGCCTTCCTTCCAAGCTTGACGGATAACAGCGTGTGTTTGCGCGCATACTCCTTCTACTGCGTCAATAAGCACCAAGGCGCCGTCACAGAGTCGAACTGCAGTGGATACATCGAAGGAAAAGTCCACATGGCCTGGAGAGTCCACGAGATTGATGAGATACGGCGCTTCCGGGTCTTTGTCGGCTGTAAGCTCGGGTTCGTACACTAAGGAGATAGCGCTGGACTTCATGGTGATGCCACGCACTTGTTCCTCCTCCGTGTTGTCCAGATATCGCACCTGTTACCACATGGGTACATTTTAGGGGTACACTTGGGATACAGTTTACACTTTCGCTTACCTTGCCAGCCAGTCGCTCCGAGATGATGCCGTTGGCAGACACGAGGCTGTCACTGAGCGTCGTCTTGCCGTGGTCCACATGCGCGAGGATGCAGATGTTGCGGATGCGCTCGGGTGCGTGCTGCAACGCGCCCAGCAGCTCCGGTGTTACACGGGTTGCCATGCTTTTGGGATGCGGAATCGAAAATGATTGGCGGGAATAATACTGAAAGATTGAAATGGTGTGAGGTACATAAAGTGCTTTCATTTTTGTGAGTGAGGGTCGCTGAAGTGTCCTACAGAAAAATGTGTAAAAATGTTCTAAATTCTCATTAGATTAAGCTGGTTTGGCATTGGAAAATTATTGTACATTTTTACAGAATAAGCAAGCGACTAAATCACGGTGCCACACAGCTTAAAAAAATCGGCATCATATAACCGGAAGAAAAATGAAGAGCGTAACAACGTTTTCAGACTAGCAACCCCTCTATTTATCAATTAAAACTCTGCGAATTATCACATGGCTCACGAATATCTTGTTTGGATAGCACTTCGAGACACAATCGCTTCATCATCGGCGAGACAATGGCCACCTCATCAGTGCCTCTTATTCTTACCACAACTCCCATATGGAGCAAGCGATCTGGATTCCTTGCCTTGACACTGTCCTTTCCCTCAAGCACCTGTTCAAGAATCCACCACTCGGTGTCATCCAGCTTGTATAGATCTTGAAGAATACGATAATAGCTTCGATTGTACTCTTTCAGGTACATGGGAAACAGCAATCCAGAGAACCACTTCTCCCATGCTTCGAGCTCAAGATTATATTTACCTTCATCAGCCGTGAATCGAACAAGTGATCCCAGCACACCGGGCACCCCACCGGAAAGGTCCATGATTCCCACCACAAGTGAGGCTGTAAATGGATACGCGGCTTCATCTCCATAAAGAAGTCACTCATCTGAAGAATTGATAATTTTTCAGCTTTAATCGTTTCAGAAACATTGAAGGGGCTTGAGTCATCATCGCCGCGATACACCATGTTATGATTTAGCAGCTCGTAATTTCCAACCCCAAGAAACCCCAGGAAGACGCTCGGCGATTGAAATTTCCACATCCGAAGAAGTCCCAGGAAGCTGGTTAACAAATCGGGGTTCTGAAACAAACGATCCATTTCATCCACGATCAGACACAACTTCTTTTTCTCGCGACCTGCGTACGTTGTAACTTGCATCAACAGCGAAGTCGAATCATGACACTCGCTTTCCGCGTCAACCATTTTCCCTAAGTAGCTCCAGAACCTGACGGCGTTACGTGCCATCTCTTTAGAAACTTCGAAATACACGGATATGATGTTCGGATGTCCGCAAAACAACATTTCAATGCCGCGAGCAATCGTGCTTTTCCCGAATTGACGAGGGCCATATAGCATATAAATTGGACGATCATTTCCTGAAAAGCCATGTCGAATTCGTTTAAAAGCTTCGATAGTGTCCAAAGGAACGGAGTAGTCGTCTTCCCCCAGTGGTCCAGTGAATGTAATGTATTTCTGGATCTTCTGTTTCTTGGATAAAGGCTCATCCTGCTTGGAGTCGTTCATCTCCGCAGATCGTTGACCCAGCGCACAAGGCCGGTTTTTCTTCACCTTTACCAAAATGTGAATTTGATTAGAAGAAGGTTGACCCATTCTGTTCTCCGTAAATAACCAGTTCTTTAAAGTCTTCGTCGCCTCTACAGCTTTCCCACTAGTCACGTCTAGAATCGAGTTAGGAATTCTCCCACTTCCGAGTTCCTCTGAGACCTCGCTCTCAGCTTCCAACCACTTTCCGTCACTCGTCTTGGCCACGAAAAGCTGCACCTCCCTCTCGTCAACGTCCTTCGA